AACAAACCCTCAAGCCAATAGCCTCGCTAAAATTCTCGAAGGGCCCTGGATAAAGTGAACTCATTTCAAGGAAAGCAGGCCATATTTCTCACTTCCTGCATGGATTTGCAAAAAACAGTTCGAACTTCTCACCACCAAAATCAGAGAGAGTAAACAGAAAGCCCCGAAGTCAGGGAGTCAGAGAGCCTCAGCTTCCCCTGCATTGGTGATTGGGATTTTGTGGCTTGGAGGTTAGCTTACCCCTTAAAACTCCAAGCCCTGGGGAGGTTAATCTTTTACAGACATATAGCCCATCTTACCCCAAAAAGTTGAGAACAGTTGTGTGTTTAAGAGGTAAGTTTGGTGGTGTCTACTGTTCCCTCTGCAAGGACGAGGGGCGACTCCCCCAACCAATCCAAGCCACAATTTTGATTGGGTAGCCTGAGATTCGGTTGGTGAGGGTTCCCAGAACAGGCGAGCACAAAACATGGGGGGGTAAAACCAAGCAGGGTGCCAGAAGCAAGACACGTTTACCCCGGCCTCTCAAATCAAGCGGAAAAAAACAGCGGCAACCCTCGAATGAATCCTGTGATTTACCATGGGCTTTGTGGTTTGGTAGCCATGCCTTCCATATTGCAAGTAAGGGAAAAGCTGCCACCCTCCAATTGTGAGCATAGCTGATCTACTTGCAATATTGAGGGCATCCGTCCCTAGAGTCGATGGATGGGGATCCCGAACTGAAGGCTCAAAATAATATCTAGTGAAAGCAACACCCCACCAGCACAATCCGCGAAACGAGGCTTGGCTTGTTGGGCGATTGTTGAAGGGTGACCCTTCACATAAGCAAAGGGACAACACGTAGGGTGGGACAGTTCCAAGAGAATGGCCTATTGTTCCCGAACCAAAAGCAATTCTTGCTGGTTTTTCCCCAGCAAGCTTTGGGATCTCAGCCCAGGCTCTGGGGTGGTCCGGGGTCCAGGGCGGCCCTGAGCACGAGGGTTCGAGGGTACCAGGGTTCTACCAGGGCTTGGGGATACCTGGGCTCATTGTTTTGGCTCTGTGTCTCCATCTCTACTCTTGGTATGGGCTTGCGAAAAATGACTGATTTTTGCAGACCCCCAGTAAAAATGAACAGAACCAAAAAACTACAAAACCAAAAACCATGATCCAAGAACAGTGAAGAGAGTCCCTGTGTGTCTGTGTCAGAGCAACCCATCGAATCTTACCGGCCGGCAGTTTCCTTTCTTTCCAGGGATCCGAAGCTTTTCAAGAAACCATCAAAAACCCAGGTTGGAAACAGCCGATTTTTTCAAAAGAACGATGGTTGAAAAGAATGGAAAACGAATCAACCCCTAGATTATTCGGGGGTAAACATTCTTGTGATTTGCCATGGTTTTGTGGGTTTTTCCTAAATCGTGGCATCCATCCCCCACACACTCGCCGGCGGTCATGGAGACGAGGAAGAGGGGCCCAGCATAGGCGAAGCCCAGCACAGCTCCGTAGACCTTCGACAGAGGCTCCGCCCGGGCTTTTTGCGAGTCCCAAATGGGGGGGAGGTTCCCTACTCACTTGCCCAAAGCACCCAGACATCAAAGGTGATCACCTTTTGGGACCCCTACTAAAAATAGACCAATCAGGAAAAACCAGAAGGTCAAAAGGTCGGCTTTGAACAACTGAGCCTATGCTGAACCCTACGCATCTCTTGGGAACCTTAGGAACCCTCAAGCTCTCAACTACTCATCCCCTTGTACCCACCCCCCTTGTTGAAATAAAACAATCAACCTGTTGGGCTCCCTTTCAGCCAAAGGCGTGGGTTGCAACCATTGCCTGGTGAGGGCTCAGGTCTTCCAAAACAACAAAACAAGGAATCCGCAATCAGGGTCGTTCCGCCCAAACATGTTGACAGGAATCCACAAAGCCCAAGCATTTCTGGTGAACCCCCCCTGTTGGGAATTCAGGGCATGCCGCCATTGGCTACTGTCCGTGCCCAGACTGCGCAGCAGCCTCAGCCACGAGGCAAAACAAGGAAGCTCCCGTTTAATTCAAAACATAGGGACCGCAGCGTTCCTTCCAAGGGCTCCCACGGCTTGTTCCACTTAGGGGGTGTTCCTTGGTAGGAAAGTGTAGCAGCTGAGTCTGGCCAGAAAAGTTCAGACACCATTTTGGCCACTCAAATGATGAGGACACCTACAAGCAAGTTGAAAAGGCCACCTAAGTAAGCTATGGACTATGGATCAATTTCAAACAGCTCAATTGCGAAGGCGTGACAATCTTGCTCTTCCTCTCACTTCCGGTCGAGTGCATTGGCAAAAACAACTCCAAACTGTGCATTTACCACTAAAATGGTCGTTTCAAGTCCGGAACTCAGGTGAGTCCTATTGCTCCCAGTTCCCGAGGTGAAGCAATTGCTTGCCCGAGTGTCGATTAGAGCGGACACCGTCGACCTGAAGCCAACGTCAAGAGCTGGCCACTGTTGACGCGTCTTCTCACCGGGAGTCACCGGACCAGACTTAGACCTTCTGATGTAGGGAAAGTGAACTCAGTTGTTCAGTGACCCTGCAAAAAAGGGGGAACCCTTTTTCTAGCTCCTCCAGTGAGGTTGGAATAAGGCTGCCAACTTGTTTCCGTCGTCTTTAGGGGAACCGAATCTCCCAACCAAAAACTCACTGGCTGAGTGGATTGCCCAAAAAAAGTCCAAACTTCTTATTTACTACTGAAATGGTCCAAATCCCAAAAAGCTTAAAGTTCATGAACTCAGGAAGTGAGAAAAAGGATTTGGTGAGACAGGGCACTGGGAGAAGCTCAGTCCAGCAAGCCCACGCCCGGCGGCTTCTGCAGCACTTGGGGCTGCCGCCAGCGCCAGCAACTCCGAGAGAACTGCACACCTCGGAAGCTTCAAGGGGCCCCCTCTTGAGAACATACAGGCCAAACCAACGAGGCTAGGCTGGAAAACTCGAACCCCAGCGAAAAACACAAATATTATATATATATATATATATATCGTGTTTGTTTTTTTGTTTTGCTTGGCTAGTGGAAAACAAAGGGACCCCAAAAAAAAGCAAACAAAAAAAAGGGGGGAGCTGATTCTGGGGGAGGTAAGATGTATCCGAGTTGTTCACGGTGGGGCTTGGCGACTTGGGCCAAAAGATGAGGGACGCCCGCAGCCCTTTCCGAGGTCCTATGTGCATCTGTAGACTCATATTTTTAAGCAGGGGCTGCCTGGAACTCCCCAACTTAAAAGTTGATCAAGTGACTGGTGTCCATTGAACCGATCGCCACTTTTGGGGGGTCCAAAAATATGAAACGCGGGCAACCCCTGTTGAAACCCAAGGTTAATTAGGCGAATTGCCAGTTGCGCACCGGATTTAGCAGCACAAATTTCACAAGTGCGCGCAGCTTGTGCTTCAATTTGCCGCCAGGCAAGCAACCTGAGCCGCAAGCTGTACGCAAAGCTGTCCGCATGCTGAGTGCCAGCTACAACTCGCTGCAAAAAAAAAACAGAGTTGCGAATGCTCACACTCAGCCAAACTTTGCGATCGTCTATAAACAGATACTTGCTCTCTGGGAAAAGATGCGACAGGACCCGGTTTGGTGAGGTTCAGAGCAACCCGTGCATTGTGGCTTAGTCTGCTTCGGCATCTATTCTCTACCATGGGAACTTGCCTAGGTCCTCCAGCAGAAAGGATAGAACAATGGTACCCTTTTCTCTGCCGTCTATTTTAGTAGGGGAACATAGGGAGGGCGAAGACTTAGAAAGGGCTCCTGTCCACTTCCGTTATTGGAAGGCGGTATGCAGGTTGATCACACTCCTCTGAAGGGTACACCCCCCCCTCTTTTTTTGGAGGTGTGGTTGGGGGGTGGTGGTGTGTTTGGGGGTCCTGGGGAAAGTTCTGTGAGAGGAACGGAACATCTGGTCGGTCAGAGAAAGCCTGGTTCACCATATGCTGCCCTGGAGCGCTTCAAATCTTGCCCACCCTGCTGCAGGATAGAGTCTGCGCTCATTAATGTTTAACTTTACCCATCCGAAGATCATGGATCCAGAAGTAAGGAACCTGAATCCAAAAGTCAGGAACTGCGCTAATTAATTAGCTTTACCCATCCGAATAAGATCATGGATCCAGAAGTAAGGAACCTGAAGGAACCTCCATCACGGTGGCCAAATTGTTCTTTTCAAAACGGGCTGAGTGCTGTTCAGTGGCCTTCTCAGTCTTTGCCAAGAAGGCACTCCCATTGCCCTGGGCCCCCTGCCAGCTGCCCTGAAGTGGCAAACTCCGTGACCAGCCCACTTTCAACTGGCGGCGCGGTCGCAAGCCAGCGAGAAGTCCGGAGGCCTCTCCCCCCCCCTGCGGTCACGCTGGGTTTACCATTTACTTGCCAGAACCCCTGGAACATCTTGGAGCTCCCCGAAGAAATGGGCCTCTCCCTGGGGAGAAGTGGTTGAAATGGAATCCGCGAATCTGTGCTGGACAAGGCCTCCCAAAGACTAACCCAAGAGATTCCAATCCCACATTTCTGACGGGCGAATAGCACGGCTCCCACTCGAGCTGAATCCGACGATATTGCTTCCCTATCGAGCGGGTTGGCCAAAACAAGTCGCAAGCTGCATCCCTGCCTTCACGTCCGACCGAGATTGGCAACCGAAAAAGCCCAAACTGCTTGTTTGCCACTCAAGTCGCCCTGTGGTTCCGCGATCTCCCGATCACAAGATCGTGGCGTGTTCATGCATGGATGACATAGACAGTCAAAGCATGCCGCGCAATTGCTCAAAAGCTATGAACACATTGTCATTAAAAGAGGCACATTGATCGAAGCAGTCATTTCGTCCAGCAAGGCCCTATAGCCTATAAGTACGTCAAAATTCGCCCAACCTCCAGTGGAGAGGTTAGAATAAGGGTACCAACTTGTTTCTGCACTCAATTTTACTAGGGGAACCCTCCGCAAAAAATATCGGCCTTCAATGATGGAATGCGAACTTGGTCCGCAAACTTGGTCCGCAAAATAGAGAAAAAAGGCAAAAGGGCCTAGTCTAAGCTCACCCCAGACAGGACTCCCATGCTCTCGCCTCTCTCCGAACGAAAACCGGCCGTGGCCTCCACCACGCAGCTGGCAGCCACCGCGGCAACGGTGTTGGGGCCTCGGACGCGCTGAGAACGGATCGGCCCCACTTTCTTGGCCCCGCGGAAATGAACCGGACGAAAACATTCCGGTGGAAAAACGGGGCATTCCCGACCATAGAATCCCTCATTCCCTGCTGGGAACCAGCAAGGAAAGAACCAATTCATATGAATTTCCAGGGTTCCAACTTTCCACAGTTCCATACTACTTGGGTGTTCGTTGCCAAGTTAGCAAGATGTGTTTAACCGCTTTGGGGATTTGGTGGAAAAGCCGACCCCAGACTCAACCTCACAGAGGCCAGTGCAAGTCCCCAAAATCCCCTCGGTTGGGCCTACCCGGGCCAATCAGGTGGACTTCTATGTCCCCTTCGAAGACAAACCCGGGTCTTGGGAATGAACCGGAAGGGGATTCCATTAAACGAAGGCATAGGGGATGATTTATAGGTCATTACCTCATTCCCTGCCATCGAACCAGCAAGTAAAGGTGGCTTTGGATTTGGCCAAAGCTCGTCAACCTTGCCCCCCCACCCCAACCCTAACCCTAACCCCACCCCACCCCATTTCTGTTCACATCCAGTCCCTGAAAAAAAACACTGGCTGTCCCAAAAAACACCCGGAACGGCCATTCCCTACCTATCGAACCAACATCCTCGTCAAACTGAAAACCCAACTGGGCCCTTTGCTAAACGCCAAGACCAACGCCACGGCGTGGATACGCCTCCGCCAGGCGCCAAGCCGCAAGCCGGCCCTCTGCGTCGGTCCAAACATTAGTCCTTTTATCCGTCTTTGCGCTTCGACAACACTATTACTTGAAACTCGAACTATGTTTGTTCTACCGAAAAAAGGCATAAAACATGTATGTTGTTTACAACGCAGTCGGTTTTGTCAAACAGATCTGTATATATATATATATACTATGCATATACATATGCAATGTATGTGTGTATCCATTTGCTCGAGCATAATTGAAATATAAATGCACATTACCGACGGGCCAAGACGTTGGCCGCAAGCCACACCCGCGCGCCTCGCCAACAAAAAAATGCCTCGCCAGCAACGGGGCAATCCCGGGGACGCCGCATGAAGCACAAGGCAAAACAACCGGCCAAGAGCGAAAACTTGAGCCAAGCCCGTGTGGTTCGCTAAGCAAAGGCGAACTGTTCTCCCGAAGAATTAGTTCTTGCGATTCTTCTCAGAAGTGTTGCCAAACCGGGGCAAGGAGTGATGAGACTGCACACACTAGGACCATTGTCGTCCAAAGCCTCCTAGTGAGGGTTAAAGCTCCAGTCGAACCTTCCCCAGCTTTTTCAGGGATCCTTCTCGTCAATGGGCCAATCGCCCCTGCGAAAATTGGCGGTTAGAGAGAATGATGGAACCTTCTCAATGGGACTGGGAAAACCGATGGCTGCAAAAAAAAGGGGGGAGTCAGCAAAAAGACATTTCCGGAGGTGGGGGACATCAACCAACAGCTCCGATTTCCGGTGGGCAACCCATCCCATCCATCGCCGCGTTTTTCGCGGCCTCAAGCCCTCGAAGTGGAGGAAGGCTTCCACCACCAAGGCGATGTCCTGACTCTGAGGCGGACATTTTCCATTTGGTTAAGCCCCCTGACCCGCAGGAGACACTCCAGTCGCAGCTTCCCTTTAAAACCAAAAAGGTTTAAATAGCGAAACATGGACAGAATCCAGTGACAGATTCGCTTGAAAACCAGAAAGGTTGCAGCAAATGGAAGGCAGGAATGACTCACTTCCAAGGGCTGGAATTCGGCCTTCAATCAGAATCAGCTTCCCGGGGTGTCTATTTACCCGTTCAAATCCAAATTCAGACCAACGGGTTCCATGATTCAACTCTCCCCGTCCTTACGGACCCATTTGTCCAAAGAAAATAACAGAACAAGCACAAGGTAACCTCGGCTTAAGAAGCTCTTTGTTTTTTGACAGCAAAACCCGCACGGTCATGCCAAAAACAAGTCCCAGGCAAGTGCACCTACCTCAGGGTCGGCAAATGGTGAATGCTATCTCCCAGCTTGGAAGTTGCGGTCTTGAGGTGGCAACATATAACAACTCGCTTAGACCTCAAACACCGGGTGCAGCCGCCAAAACAATTTGCGGAAAGCTCGGGGCCACCGTATTGATGTCTACGCGGTTGCGACCTGCGACTGTCCCCAGGTGGATTTTTGTTCAACTGGCCTTCCCGCAAGCTGCGTGCTGACGGATGGATTCCTTTTTGGCTTTGGAGATCCTCTCAAGTGATCCAGAACCTCTCAAAAATGATGAAACCCTCTGAATCAACCCACGGTAAAAAGTAGCCCTGAGGGTCCCCTTTGCTTTGACCCCAACCCCGGAAGTACATCCTCAAGAGATACTTCTGGGTATGCTCCTGGGCCCATGAGTGGGTCTAGTAAAGTGACATCCTCCACGTGACTCTCTATTACATGGTGGCTTTAAGGGAAACAACCGCCTGAAGTACTTGGGAGACCCCTCAAAATACCTTGCTCAATTCGTCTCGCCACGGAGCCCTGAACTTCGTCTCCTCACTTCCAATCGAGTGGCGCGCCGAAGAAATCCAAAACCTATGCTTGAATTTGCCGCTAAAATGGCCTTCCCAAAGCTGGGCTGTCCTCAGATCCCCTGCTAAAAGTTCAACCCGTGGTGTTAAGTGGACACTCACCTGGATGGCTGAGTAGAACCCTAAACAACTACCAAGAAACCCCTGCAGGCTGAGAGCCACGCAGTCCGAAACGGAACACGCAGAGAGCGAGCGAGCCGATGTCACCCCGCCCCCAACCGCCCGCTCCCTGACCAGCACATTAGCGGCTAAGAGCAGGAACAAAGCTCGAAGGCAGAGTCGCCGCACCTGGACATCCGGAGGCCCCCGAGGCCCCACCACGTCCATTCTCCCCACGTTGGTAGAAAGCCAGGACACTCCACTTGAAGAAACAGATGTCCAGTGATAGAGGTTCCCTAAAAAAGCCAACTGGATAAAATGAAAGATGTTGAGCAAATGGAAGTATCCTGATGTAGCAGCATGTATAATTATTGGTTGCTGGCGAGACCCCTCTGCAAGAACTGCTTGACCCCTGGTGGGTGCAATTTGGAAAATCGGAGCTGTTCCAACCAACAGATTAAAGTTCAATGATCCAACCGAATAGCTAAAAAGTATTTGTCACGTCTTATCACATGTCAGGTCGAAAACAAGTCGACAAACACTGTGGATGGTTGCACAATCCATTTCGCACCACCATTCAGAACCCTGGAATGATGCGATTCCCCCTGCAAATGCATGGTTTCCAAGTAGTGCAGGATTTCGTCCATCCACAGTGTGGGCGTGCAAACTTGTTTGATTCTCTCGGTACCCCGTGAACGTGTTTCTTTTTCAACAAGAGCCAAAAGGAAGCCATGCTTTTTGGAGGTGCCCTTTTGAGACAACCCCATGTAGATGTAAAATTTTCGGGACCCAGTCGGGTGCCCTTGTTTAAAGATGTTGCTGTTACACCCCGAGCTTACAGCAATAGTTTGAACCATAACCTAGGTCCTCCAGAGGGGCTAGAATCAGGGTACCAACTTTTTTCAGTAGACTATTTTAATAGGGAACCCTTCCCCCAAAAAAGGGTGAGAAAGGGCACTACTGGGGGACCTAGATAGTATGAATCCTGGAGAGGAGGTGGGGATTCATGCCCACAACTTGATTTGGAGCTGCTTCCCTTTCAACACACCATACCCACATTTGGTTAAGGCCCCAAGGAAAAAATGAAACTATTTCCAGTAGTAATGAATTCCTTTCAAGACCAACAAGGGAAAATTAAAAGTATCCTTAAGCAAATGGAGGCACATATCTGGTCGGACGAAAAGAAACCTTGTGGACTAGCAGTTTGCCTTGATCTACACAGGTTCTGTTGCTATCTTGTCGCGGCTTGGAGCAGACAAGCCTCAAGTCCCGCAAAAACGGGGCAATCCTAAACCACAAATCTGGCCGGCCCAAAATCAATCACCAACCAAATCACGAAAGGTACGCAAGAAAGGAACACTCATCATGAGGTCACAAAACCCGTTGGGTAAAAACAAGGGCAGACTCTCAAGAGGTTCGTCTCTTTGCACATGAGCCAAGCAAGAGTGGAAACAGGCGAAGGCAAACAATCGAAGCTAGATAGCAATGGAACAAATATATTAATTTTCCCTATGAATAAGCAGTCCTTTCCAGACCATCTCCCAATACTAAACTAGAACTAGACAATGCTTAAAACATCTTGACAGCAACTCTAAGTCAGCTTGAATTCCTGCCAACAACCAACTGCAGCTAGAATTGGGAGCTCTGAAGCAATTTGAATCTTCCTTACAAGTTCAACTCACCCTTCCATTCAAATTCTTACTTGGAACGCCTGGGAGCCACCAAGAGCCCACTAATATTGCATGCGGTATTTCTCACTGGAGGCCGTATCTACTATTAGCGGAAAGACAACCAAGGCCAAGCTGAAACCAGTGGAACCAATCGAAAAAGAAGAAACAACACCTATCTTGGCAAATCACCATACTTTACAAACCAGAATCTGTTGCCGGGGGGGTAGACCACTTACCAACGGGTGCGAAGTGGATTATGCCGCGAAATCACCGTGCCTTTCTTGGATGTTCAAGCAACTTAGAAAGCTGTAAGCATGGAAATAAATAACTGAGACAACTGGGGTTAGCCCTGCTTCAAAACAGATATAACCCACTTGCTGAATAGCTTGAGCTTCCAATATGACTACTGTTATCCATCATGCGACTCAGTTGTTCAGTGACCCTGGAAAAAAGGGAACCCTTTTTTGGGAAGACCATTTTTAGAAGGGCAGCCACCAAAAAAGAGGGAAAAAGGGTGCCCTTGCACAACTGAGGCGAGGTGAAAAAGGGAGCAAACAGCCAAGCAACCAGCCTGCCCCGTCTGAACGGTTGCGGTCTCACGCTCCTCCGCATTGGGAGCTTTCTGGGGTGGCGCATGGGGCTCCAGCCCGCCATGAGCAAAGCAATTGGTGAGGTTTAAGCCGTTTGGCACGTCGCAAACTTGCTGCCAAACTGGAAAACTGCAAGGTCAAAAGGTGGGCTGGCAATTGCAACTAGGCATGTTGAATCAATGGAATAAGCCCCACTCACTTCCCGAGCGGATTGAACAAAACAAAAAAATATGTTGTGAATCACAAAACAGGTCCTCCCAAAAAGTAACTAAAGTTTACTTGGGACATAAACCCTAGCCTCCCTTCCACTAACGCGGCACCTGTAGGCTGCCTGGAAGATCGATTTCCTCTAGGTGGGACTGGGTCCCTGTCAGGCACGATGTGGAAATTGCGGCTTTCCGTGTTTTGGGGCCGCTTTAAAGGGAACCTAAACTGGGCTGTTCCCAGATCCCCGTTGAGTAGAAACTACCACTGAACCCCGAAAGCCGAAAACCCCAGGAACCGGATGGCTGCCAAACACCCAGGAAAGGAGGACCCGTCCATGTTCAGAAGTGCAACGAGTCAATTTTCACTCAACTTGTTCTGCACATCTCTACTCTTGGTATGGGCTTGCGAAAAACTGACCGATTTTACCAGACCCCCAGGAAAAATGAACAGAGCCAAAAAAAACACATGAGCCAAGAACAGTGAAGTGCAGGTAAAGTCATTGTGCAATGCGCGACGCCGAGAAAGGGATTCATTCCTATGACAGAAACTCATTTCGGGTGACGCCGCAAGAGCCCCGAATGATGTCGCTGTATGAATGGTTTCAACCATGGTAACTCATTTCGTGGTGCACGATTTTTTCCAACAGTATGGGGGTTGATCACAAGGTCCGTGATACATGTTGTAAAACAACTCGAAAGATTATATTTTAACCACTAAGCGGGAAAAGCAACCCATGGTCACCCAGAATTTGTACACTGGGTTTTCCTCATGACAACATTTAGGCCAGGCACGTCAACTAATACATCTTTAGTGCACGGTTCAGTCGGTTTTGCTGCTCAAAGCCGACTTGCTAGACCTTTGGTTTTCTCATTTTGGCTGAGAAAAGCTCGGGTCTAGACATCTCCCCCTTGCATGAAATGTATTTCACTGGCGCCCCTTTGTCGGAACCGCGTTGGGCATCAGGTTCACTCGGTGTGGACCACAATCAAGCATGTTATGTTTGGGGGCAAGAGCGGAAGTAGTTGTTCAGTCGCAGGATTGCTTGTTTGCCATACCCCGCCCCTGGTTTGGGTAAAATATCACCACCGCAGCCAAAATGCTCCATGAGTTTCTCTAATGCCCCCTGTTGCCCTTTGCATGGGCAGAGATGTAGGGCATATTATGGCATCCGGCACGTGGCTCCATGTCCGTTCCGGGCAATCAAGTCATATTGTCTTTTCCTGACATGTTTGTGTATCTCGAAAACCCAGAAAAATCCCTGGAAGGTGGATGAATGAAATTGTGATCCTTGAAGGGGGGCTATGGGGGAGCCATTCCCTGGATAAGCCCAGGATAAGCCTACGATAAGAAGGCCTTAATACTAGGGATTCAGTCATTTAAAGGTGATAGCCCCGCTGATAGTCTCCTTGGATGTCGATGAGACAAATCCACAACTGCGCCTGAAAAAAAAAAAAAACACCCGACTGCTAAAAATCCCGCTCTCGCCCGGTCCCGTCGCAGAACAGCGCTGGTCTTGAGCAACGGGTCGTCCAAAACCTCAGACGGGGAAGGAGTCTGTTAGCTAGAACTTGCGATTCTCTCTTCGGTTTGGACTTGCGGGGTCAGCACTGGAATTCAAACAAGGGGGATAATCGGTGAGGACGTTTGGGTAATGTATTCTTGCCGCTGAATTGCGAATGTTGTTCTTCTATGATCATCAATTGATTTGGTCAAAAAGTACCTCACAGCCCCATTCTAATTACTTGGGCCGTTAACAGCTGGTCATCTCAGCTGTCCGAGTGCTTAATTTCATAATTCACGTCATGGAAAGTTGAAAGGGCTGAC